GGGAGGCACAGCATGGCAGGGGCTCAGAAAGGATGGAAACCCAGGGGAGACTGGGAGGAAAGCAGAAAGGGAAGGGAAAGGTGTTCTGTGAACGCATGGAGCGTGCAAGGGTTTGCAGTGCAGAATGAACAGGGAGGGAGCGCTGGAAGGTTTGGGTTCTGCAAGGACCATCAAGTCAAAGAAGGAAGGGCACCGGGTGTCTGCCCCACACCCTTTCCTTTTCTGCGCTCACCCGCACCCCTTTGGGCTTCTCTGATAGGACACCTAAGCGGCCGGCAGACGGTACGTTACTAGGAGCGCCCAGCCAGCCACGTCACCTGCATAGCACCGGACAGAGGTGCCCAAAAGGAACAAGGGGACTGCCTCAGAGGTGTGTGTGTGGCTGTGGCAACCCTAGCTGCATGTTCCCTCAAAGCCAGGTAGTCTGAAACCTTTCTCTGTTTCCTCTTCTAATTTTTAATTCCTCCCCTACCTCTCCCTGCTTGGCATTGGGGTGGTACATAAGATGCAGAAGAGAAACCACCCATCAGTAGGTGAGGGACATGGAGCAAAACCTGGTGGAGGAGAGGTGAGGACTCCAGGACAGATTCTCATCCCCAGCACCTGGAACCTGCGCTCTGCTGTGGGGCTGTCTCAGGTGGGTGCCACTCTATGCCCTGCAGGGCATTCAGCAGCACCCGTGGGCTCTATCCACTGGGTGGCAACAGCACCCCTATTTCTACTTGTGACACCAAAACTCTGACAATGACTGTGTCCCCTGAGGAGCAAAATTGCTTGGTAAGAAAACCAAACAAAAGACAGGACAGGACCCAGCTGAGCAGCTCACCAAGACCCGCGACCCTGGGGGCATGCAGCTCCCTAATGTGCACATTCCCTGGGAGGCCCAGAGACTGCTGCTGCAGGGTCTGGAACACCAGACAGGAGGCAGCACTGGGAGTGAAGACTCAATTACACCACAGCTCCCCGCTTGGCTCAGAAACCTCCGTGAGCCCCAGTCCTCTCTCTTCCACTGAGACCTCCTTCTTTCTACTCCGATGGAGCGGCTCCCCTGGAAAGTGGCATACGCAGTGGGCACTGTTCCTGGAGGAGGAAACTGATGCCTGGTGAGTCTGCATTTCCAAGCCCTGGACTATAGTCCAGGTGACTTACGGCACCGTGCAGGTCAAACTGCACACCCCAAAGAAACCTCCTGCTCTAAGAAAGGACTTGGTGCTGAGAGAAAATAACCCATGTTCTCCTAAAAAACGGCACATTACCAATGTATAGTAACTTGGCTGTGTAGGGAGCATCTTCCTCTGCAGACCCTCTGAGGTCCAGGGGCGGGGAAGGTCTGGTTTGGTTCTAGCTGGGGGAAGAGTCTGAGGGGGCTAATGAGGTGAGTGCCAGTCTCCATCAGCTGGAGAAATATGTTCTCTGCCTGGCTCGTCTAAGAGTCTCTGGTCACCATGGCATTTGGCTCCTGGTGACTCTCAGGAGCCTTAGATGACTCTGTGCCCAGGTGGAGTGAACCAGAGAGAGGATGGTACCTTCGGGCATGAACACAAACCAGCCCCCAAATGAAGAGATGACACAGCAGCTCACATGGAAGAACTCCCAGCACAACCCACAGCAGTCGGTGGGCTGGGGCATTTTGAACAGAGTGGCTTGGGAGGGTGGGGTCGAGGCTGGGGTGAGCTCATGGAGGACAAGGGGAAGGGATGTGAATGGGGAGGACTAAACCTTAGCTTGAAAATCAATCCAGGAAGGAGCCCACCAAGGGAGACCCTGGGCTCAGGAATAGGTACCTTTATGCTTCTTAATGGTGCCCAGCTCCGACGCACTCAGGGAGCTCTCTGACAGCTCGTCCACGTCGACCTCCAGCAGGGCTGGGCCACTCCATGCTGCTGCCTGAGACTCCTTCTCCAGGTCCCAGGGATCCAGTTCATTTTCCTGGGGCTCCAGGACAGGTGGGGCCCAGGCTGGCTCATCTTCCACAGGCAGGGCAGAAGCTGCTGCCTCTGGGGGGGATGGGGCAGATGGGACAGGCAGGTCATCCTCCTTGTGAGCACTGTCCATGGAGGCTGCATAGTCCAGCATGAAGGCAGCTTCGTGGTCCTGAGATAGTGAGGTCTGGGGTGGGGGGCGGAGGAGGTGGGGAGAACACACCATCAGAAGCCAGGAGCAATGGAAAAAGCCAGAGCAGGAGAAGATGATGGGGGCTCATGGCAGGTGGGGAGGCTTTGGAACTAACTGCAAATCACTCTCATGACTGGGGATATCAAAGCTTTAGCAGACACAGCTAGCCTCCCCCACACACACCCCTAAGAAAGTGCTTGAGCAGTAAGGCAGCTGTTCATATGGAAATGAACAGGCATGGCTGGGTTCCAATAAAATTTTATTTACAAAAATAAGCCATTTGATGAAGGCAGGCCCCTACTACACCTGAGGCTCAAAGCATTCTGACAGCAAAAGTTGGGTCAGAGCTAACAGGCTGAGGGTGGTCAGAAATCACAGCGGCACAGGGCTGGAAGCCCCAGAAATGAGATGCCAGGACAAACACTTCCTTCAAAGCAGATAGCACATGTGTGACAAAGGACATGACCTTGGGGGCTTCAGATTTAGTCTATCTTGTGATCTTTGCCCTTTAGCATTTTTATGCTGCCTGCAAGTAGAATTAATTGGTAGATATTCTGTATCCTTTTAAGAATTGTATTTTTATGTAAAATTATATAGCTCCTGAATGATAGGGAGGGTGAATTTAATTGGGGTACACTGTATGTATTATGGAACTGTCACAATGAAGCCCTGTTGTAAGCTAATATATGCTAATAAAATGGAATATAGATGTGTGTGTGTTTGTGTGTGTGTGTGTAGTCAGGGCAGTGGTTCAGTAGGAAGACCTCCTGGGGGCTGGTCACCTTGCTCTTGATCTGGGTGGCAGCTGTACAGGTGAGTTTTTTTGGTGACAACTGACAACTGTGTTTTTCTGACATAGTGCCAGCTTATAGAAGTGCTGGCTGAGTCCAGATGGCACACTTTGAGCATCAATAAAAATAGCAATGGTGGTCTGCAGACGTTGAGATTAGTAGGTTTATGATTCTGAATAAAGTTTTACAGAAAATCCAGAGAAGACGACTGTGGGTCTTTCCTTACTTTGCTAACCAAGACTGGAAAACAAACAAATTGGAACCTGGTGCTCCCAGACACCGCCCTCTGCTGGGCTACTACTGGAAGGCCACTCAGGAGTCCAAGAAGAGGGATCACCTACTTTGGTGATGTTCAAAGCCACCTGTGAGCTGGTACCTGGTGACTTAGGGCCAGGCTACCCAGGCTCTGGGTACAATGACAAGTTTGGTGACACCTTCAGCACCTCCTGGCAACTGAGAGGTCAATTTTCAGCATGCTTTTCTGCCCAACCTCTTGGTGACTTTGCAGGATCCAACCCACCCTAACCAGACTGTGCCCATTTTTCTTCCTCATCTATCTTGCATTACAAATCAGAATCTGCCAACCATCCCTCCACCTGTGCATTCGGAAAGCGAAGTAAGAGTCAGGTCTGTTGCATGGCCCCTTGCCCTGAGGAGCTGGCCTGCCTTGCAGTCTGGCCACATGACTACCACCTCCTGCTCCACAGAGCAGAAGGGGAAAAGTGGGGATTGGGACATATAATAACCTTCCTTTGTTTCAGATAACAAAAGGAATAAACATTGCTTGCAAAAACTTGGAAATGGCTAATGTGGAAACTAGAAGTAGAATTGGGTGGTAACAAGGGTGGAGTCGGAACTAGAGAGGGCGCTTACATCGTATCTTTTTCTCTCTCAGTAATCTTTCTTGAAAAGATTCATCATCCTCTCAACACTCAAAGCATCATCGAGGAGAAACTCCCAAGTTTCCTTCATCAACAGGACAAACTGCACAATCTCAGTACCACAGGTTCCTCCTGTTGGGGAGGAACCTGATTTGACATCTATAACGGGGAGTTTACGTCAAGTCCCTAGGCTGACACTCTCTCGGGGGAGGAGCTGAGGCCCCTGATGGACACAAACAATGCCCTGTGTAGCTGTGCTGACTTTCAGACCTTACCTTGGAGATCCCTGAAATTATGATAGTGCTTTTCTTCCGTGGTGACTTGAGTTTCAGCTTGGAAGATTCACTGAGCTGTCGAATAGCGACTTCAGCCACTGGATCTGAGCTGTTCAACACCAACAATTCTGCCAGAGGGAAGGCAGCACTGAGTTCACTAGCAAAAATGGAAAACTCTGTGGGAACGTCCAGGGGTGAGGCGATGGTCTACAAGCAGAGGTTGGTAAATATTTTCCATAAAGGGCCAGACAGTAAGTAGTTTAGGCTTCACAGGCCATTGGTCTCCATGCTGTTTTGCAGAGTGAAAGCAGCCATGGAACATATGGAAATAAGCAGATGTGACTGCGTTTCAGTAAAACTTCATTTAAAAAAATAAGTGATGGGCCACATTTGGCCTATGGGCATAGTTTGCTAGTGGGTCCTCATCTACAACTTTTGAATCCCTTGGTGGTTAAGGGTTATCATTGAAGTGTTTACTTCAAGATTTGTGTGTTTTATTATGTGAGGTTGACAATTCTCACCAATAGGGTTGATGAAAAATGATAAAAAAGCAAGTAAACAACAACAAATCTCTAGACTTATAGAGGGTTTTGAACTTTGTGGCTCAAGAGACAAACACTGATCAGAGCTAGAAAGGGCCAGCTAATAGAAGACGCTCCTTCCATGGTCAGTAACACCTATGCTGGCCGCCATCTTTGGCATTCATACTAGTACTATTAACAGAGCTGTGTACTTTAGCTCATCTGCTCATCCTTCACCCTAGGAGGCAGGCTATATTTTATTTTTTAAATCTCCACTTGACAAATGGGGGAAACACCAGGCAAGCTGGGTGGGCAGGAGAGATGACATGGCCAGCCTGGCCCCTTAGTTGGGACCCATTTTTGTAGCTCACCCCAGTCTGCTCAGGCAGAGTGAAAATGACCACACTACTAAAGCAGCAGGATGCTAAGACGAGCTTTCCCTGCCTGAGCGTGACAGATGCAGGTTTCCAAAGGCAGTGGAGAGAGACCACTGTGGTGGCACTGCTGGCTGGTGACACTGAGAGGTACACAAGAAGCGCACATTTGGCCTTCCTCCATGTCCTGGTCCATGGCTAATGTAACCCAGGGAATTTCCTGTGATGGACTGAAGGGAATGTCTTTCATTATTCATTGTAAGCCCCCATAAGCACACCCAGTTTACACTAATGAAGACGGGGACTGGTTGCCAGGGGTATCAACCGTGTAATTAGAAACGGTCCCTTTCAAGAGGGCAGTGGGGGCAGGACCAATGATTTTCCTAAGTATGTCTATGTAATGAAATGTCCCTAAATCCCTAAAGGACAGAGCTCAAGAGCTCTGGGTTGCCACCACACTCAATGCAAGGAGGGAGACACATTCCAACCTTTCCAACCTCCATGGACGGAGGTCCCACACTTGGGACCCTCCCAGACCTTGCCCTCTATGCTTCTTCCCCTGGCTGTCCCTGGCCAACCTTCATTACAGACTGGTAAGCCTGAGAAGGGCTGCTCTGCATTCTGTAGTCCAGCCACAGCTACGCGTGGACACCACAGGATAACAGTGGAACCCTATGTGCAAAGTTAGAAGTGAGGGTGGGCCACCTGGCGACCTGCTGCCTGAACCTGGCGTGTGAAGTGGGATCGTGCCAACTTGGGGTCATTATGTTCACAACTAAACTGAATTGCAGGACCCCTGGTCAGTGTATGCAGAAAACTGGAATTGGCTTGAACCATACATTTGGGGCCAGAAGTGTTGTGAGTAGAGGAATGGCATTCTGTTTAGCGTCTAGGAGAGAAGGGTCAGGAGAGAAGCTCCGTGAAGGCTCCTTAGGAAAATATCACCATAAGATGGGTACAGGAGCCCTCTTCCTCAGGCCACAACCCGGGCTTCTGAGCAGTCCTGGGGGAAGGGAGCCAAGGAACCAGGTACTTTGGAGAAGCCACAGTGCCCACTGGTTACACAGTCTGCCATGATCTGGGGGCTGGCTCCACTGTCCAAATGGAGAGAGGACCTCACAGCAGAATGTGAGCCTAGGGCCTTTTTAAAAATGGGATCCCATCCAGGTGAAGGGCCCCAGGCAGTGTGCACTAAGTGTGTGTTGGGGGAAGAGTGAAGAAGAAGGGGCACCAGGAGCCACAGCCAGAGGGTGGGCTGGCCTGAATCCATAAACCCTCAGGGCTGGCAGGGCAGTACCCAGGGAGGTACGAAACCCTACCAGGGATGAGGCAGCATGAACTGGGAGATGGAAGACAGCACCTAGACAGGGCTGGTCAGGTGGGAACTGCTGCTCCCTGACACAACCTTAGCCCAGGCCTTGTCAAGGATGATCAGGAGAGAAGTTACCCACCACCTCCCTCTAAGGGCAGGCCCAGGATAGCGAGGGAGAAAAGTCAGTCTGGTTCACACTGTGCTGTGATTCAGAGACAGGAAGATATCCCTTGGAAGATGTGTGTTACCCAAAAGCAACCCTAAAGATGGGGAATGGCACCCAGAGGGTTGGCCACGGTTCCAAAGGGGGCTTAAGCACAAAGTGGGAGACAGAAACACTGTGCCTGGGTGATGCTATCCTGAGTCCTGCTCATCTGATGGCATTATGGCCACTGATGTGTTGAGGGACAGGGAGAAACTATTCAGAAAGTTACAAAATGACACCTCCACTGGGCTTTTGTGTTAGGGACACAGTACCTACCGCTCCTGACCTTCCCTGAAACCCCCCACCCCGCTTTCTTTATTCTCCTCCTTTCTCATTTCCCACTTCTTCCTAAAAAACCCCACCTTCTCCCAAACTTAGAAAAGGAACCTTTACTTCAGAGAAGAGCTCAAAAACACCAAGCAGCAGGAGCAGGTGCATCCTTACCTGTATCTGAAGAAGAGAGAGTTTTGCTGACAGGCGCACTGTGGCACGAGATGGCCTGGACAGAGATATCCTTCTCAATGACCTTCACCTTGACAGGTGTCTTCACAGGAGACTCTGCTAGGGAAAGACCCCTCAGTAAGGGCACAACAAAGGTGGAGCTGAGGGTTCCAGAAAGAGTGAAAGCACCCTTGCTGCACCCCCCCCCCCGCCCTGCTCTTGGCATCAACCACAGCTGAGCCTTTGTCTCCCTTCTTCTTTGTTTTGGGGGTGGGCGGGGGAAGTGGGGCTGGAATCCTGGCTTAAATAAAATTTCAGAATCATTGTAATAAAGCCAGTGGTCCCCTTGGTATTTTATAATCCTGACTTGTACCAAGGGATCTATCCTGACAAGACAATACTTTGTACAAGCAGAGGCATTGTGTAAATAAATAATACCTCCCCAAGGCAGGGGCTGTGGGGACAGGTACAGAATTCAGCTGGATCAGGCCTTTTGTCTTTATTTTATTTTTGTCTTTATTTTGTCTTTTGAGGCAGGCCAGTCTCAAACTCACCATTCTCCTGCCTCAGCCTCCCAAGTGCTAGGATTTCAGGCACACACCACCACATAGGGCTCATTAAAGACTTAGTAAATCCAAACAGCTAAGGTTGAATTTTTCAAGATTGTGCTGTATCCCTGCAGGAATCTCATGGAGTACTGAATTTAACCTGATTGCACCGTATTAGAGAGCAATGTTTATAGCATCTAGACTGCTGCTTCGGAATACACTACCAGCTGAACCTTGCTGCAGCTTACTGAGTATTTATTTCCTAGAACAGAAAGATATCTCTGTCCAACACAAAAGCCCGCACAGGTCTTGCAAATTCCCTTTCTTCCTTACAACCCTCAGGGCTGCAGCCCACGTGCTCTGGGTTTGTAGGACAAGCCATACACAGGGCCAGTGAACCATGCAGATGTCCTGCAGGACACAGGTACTGCAGGGTCTCACCTGAGCTCAGCGGGGACGCCCTCCCCACATCAAAGCGAGGCTTGGTCTTCACAGCAGTGACAGTAGTGACCACGGTCCCACATGGCATCACGGTGCGGTCCCTTTCTATCTTTGCAGCAGGAACAGGGGGAGGGGCTGGCCAGGACTTCAACTCACCAGGCTCTATGTAAGAAAACTGGAGAGAAGGTGGTTCTGTCACCCTTGGCATACATAGGAGGTTGGTCCAGGACCTCCTCAGGTACCAAAACTCCTGATGCTCAATTTCCTTCTGTAAATGGCATAGTATTTGAGCAGAACCTATCCACACCCTCCCACACACCTTAAACTATCTCCAGTTTACTTCTAATACCTAATAAAATGTAACTGCTAATGCAAACAGTTGTTTTTCTATATTGTTTGGAAAAAAATGGTTCATGCGTGTTCAGTACAACTGAATTTTCCCCTCCATTTTCAATCCACAGTTGGTGGAATTGGTGGAGTTGGTAGATATGGTAGGCTGACTAAGTGTGAAGGCAAATTAGCAATGGAATGCTGGCTTCCTTTCAAATACCCCCCAGTTACTTCACTCCCCATCACTTGGTATAGTCCATTAACCTGGACTCCCAGAATTAGCATAAAACCATGACAGCCAGCCATCTCATGGAAATAGAAGCTGAGCCAAAGGAAACTTTAAAAGGAATGCGCCTTGGCTGGAAGTGTGGCTCAAACAGTGCAGTCTGCCTAGCAAGTGCAAAGCCCTGAGTTCAAACCCTAGTACTGCCAAAAAAAGAAAAAAGAAAAGAAGGCCCTCCGGGCTGACCACAAGATGGCAGCCTAAGAAGTCACAAGCCTATTGCAGGCAGATGCATCCAGAGTCTAGAAGCCCATGCTGTGAAGAGCGTCTTCGGATAGCCTCACATGTCAAACAGAGGCAGGAGGGACCCCTGGGAGTCACAAAACAGATGCTCCCTGTGAGCAAGAGGAGTGGGCTGGAATGTGGCCATGGGGAGCAATGTCACCATACCTCTGCAGTGACTGAGCCCAGAACCGAGCTGCTGGAGGTGGGTCCACTGGTCAGCGTGAAGCTCTGTGGGCCAGAAGGCTGCTTCCTAAACAAGTCCAGTGGAACCAATGTCATCGCCAACAGACCTAAGGAGCAAAGACAGGAGTGCCGTGGATGTTCTCAGTGGGCACACCCCCAAGGGACGCCCTGCAAGCTGGAAAAGACTCCATCTCAGAAAAAGATGAGCTGCAAGGGCATTCAGTGACAATGCTGTCAGGACAGCTCGGTGACCCCGCATAGGGTGGAGAGGAAAACAGACTATAGAGAACAGAGTCAGTAAAAATCCAGAAGCTGCTGACCGTGCTGTGGACACAGAAGAATATGGTCACTAGAAATACACACTAGAGCATGTAGGGTAAAGAGCCACGATGCAGCCTTCGAGTGTGTGTGTGTGTGAGTGAGTGTGTGCACGCACACACAGAGAGAAAAGGAGGGTGAAACAGGGAGTGGTGTGTGACTAAGTATAAGCACGAAGAGTACAGGAAATTGGGCAAATATTAAAAGTATGTGAGTCTGAACACAGATCGTGTGGGTGCTCTTTGCACCGCTTTTGTAAGTCTGAAGTTTCACAAGTCCCCCCAGGATGGTCTGGAGGATAAGACTGGCCGGCAGGAGCTGGGGACCCAGCATGGGAGGAGAAGTCAGCTGCGGCCCCCACCGTGGTCCTGGTCATCCCACAAGCCCTCTCTGGGAATTCAGATCCCAGGCGTGGTCAGGGAAGGCCTATTCCTCTGCTCCCAAGATCCCGGTCAGGGTGGCTGTTGACCTTCCAAACGCCAGCTCTCCGGTCCACCTGCTCATCACCCACCTTCCGAGGACTGCCCGTCCTCTGAGATCCGCAGGTGCAACTCTTTGGACTTGGCACTCAGCTCACTGTGGAAAGGGAAAAGCATCATGAACCCTTGCAAATGCAATGCTTCGCGGTGTCTTCAAAATACAGTCTTTTTTGTTGTTGTTTTGTTTGTGGTACTGGGGTTTGAACTCAGGGCCTATACCTTGAGCCACACCACCAGCCCTTTTTTGTGAAGGGTTCTTTAGAGATAGGGTCTCGAGAACCACTTTGCCCAGGCTGGCTTCAAACCACAACCCTCCTGATCTCTGCCTCCTGAGTAGCTAGGATTATGGGAGTGGGCCATGGGTACCTGGCTAGTCTTTTTAATATTATTATTATTATTATTATTATTATTATTATTATTATAGAAAGGAACTAAAGGTGTCAATAACTAGAAAACCATGGAATCAGTCACTGTCACACCTAGTGCTAGCCTTCCAGAGCTGACCAAGGGAATTGCCTTTCTAGATGAGGATGGTGACAGATGCTGTCTCACATGGCAGCCATGAGGCAGCTAAACTGTGGCCACTGCAAACTGAGGGCCTGGATATAATTTGGTTTAATTTGTAGTAATTTAAATTTTAAAGAGCACCTGTGACTAAGAGCTACACGATTGAAAGCAAAACTATATAATTATCTCAAGACAAAATAGGGAGCCTGCAATCCCTCTCTCCCTCCTCCTTTGTAACACTGTTTTTATCCTGCTTCCATTACTACTTCATAGTTTGGATTTCTTTGAGCTATCACAGGCATCTTTCCATGTCAATTGTTGCCGAGCACCATGACTTTTAACAGGAGTCTAGTGTTCTGTTGTTTGACCATATGAAACTTTATGTAACAAGTCCTGAATAACCAACCCTTCATAGTGAGTTGATTGGTTTCCATTATTTCAGACTTACAAATAAGCTGAGATAAACATCCTCACATATACGTCTTTGCACACTGTGAGATCACTTCCTCAGGAAAACTGATTGCCAAGCAAAAGGCAAATGCATGTAACAGATTTGTTTTTAAATGCACCTATTGGTGGTATCCAGAATATTCTAATTTATACCTCCATTAGCCTTTGCTTCCCTCTTCTCTCTCTCTTGTTTTCCCCCTCTCTCCCTCCAATCCTCTCTCCCTCCTTCCTATGGTGCTGTGGATTGAACCCAGGGCCTCTGGCATGCTAGGCAAACACTCTGAGTCATTTCTTTTTCTTATCTGATTGCATGAACCAGTTCTTCTAGATCAAAACAATGGTGTCCTTCTCTTGACATCAGTGGGGCTGTTCTTGGTTTACCATTCACGGTGATTTAAAAAATCTTATTAAAGAAGTGTCTATAAATTTTATTTAAAATCAGGAATGGGTACTAAATGTCACTACCTTTTGGGTACATATAAAGATAACAATCTTATCTTCTCCTTTGATCTGCTATAATGAAATTCATTAACAAATTTCCTTACATTAAACCATCTTTATGATCCCAGTATAACTCAAGTGGATTTATTTTCAATGTGCTGCTACCTTCTATTTGATAATGTTTTATTTGTGATTCTTATATCATTATTCATAGTGGTCTGCACTCCCCTTCTCCTCTTCTACCAGACTTTGGTTCCTGTTGGAAGCTTCCTTCTCTTCTGTCCTAGATGTTTGGCTTCTATGGGAAGTGGGAACTCCATGACACTCTTGCTACAACAGAACATGAGGGGAAAATAGATCCTAAGAGCTACTTGTACAAAGAAATCCATGTTTAGCTTAGACCTACTTTAACATGCTTAAACCCATTTCTTAATTTTTAATTTAATATTTCAGTATACATGACTACACAATACTTTCCGGATCTGTAGACACTAGGGCTGTGACTGTGTGACTGTTACTCACAAGGTGAATTCTTCTTCCCAGGTGAGATCAGTAGTGTTTTTTGCTAGGGTGCTGGTGAAGCTCTGAGCAGGATCGTTCAGCTGGGCGGTGCACACTGGATTAATGCTGCCTACAATCAAATAAAGGGGCATCACACTGGCTTTTAGTTTGATCTGCATTAAGGTATTACTTGTAGATATAAGAAAGAGTAAATTCAATGACAAAGGTCGTGGTTTATCCTTCTGAGAGTCTGTTCTTTCTTGCATTTGCCACTTACAAACTCTCAAAGCACCAGTTTTACTGGGGTTGAAGAATTTCTTCCTGCACTGACCCCAAGTGCTCTCCATCAGTCCCAGCTACAGGCAGGACTCCTGGGTGGGGGACCCTCCTTGGAGCAACACCTCTTGTGCCTGATCCCGCTCCATCACTGTCCTTTTGGGGTATTTGGTGCAGACAATGGGCTATCTCATAGCTGTCTCAGCTTTGAGACAATGCTTCCCCTGAATCACAAAGTACCCAAATCCTATGTATTCAAAAATTGCTGCAATATTTTGACCCTTTACCATGCATCAGGCCATGGTTAGCTTATTTCACCTTCACAATTACCCTTCAAGGGTAGTTTGAGACCCACGGAGGGGCGGTGGAGGGAACATCCTAGTGTAGGTGAGGAGTGGGGCCTAGGCTCACGGCAGGTGTGTGCCAGAGTGGGACCCCCTGCCCAGGGAGCCCACTCCAGCCTCTTAGGGTGCAGGGCTCAAGTGTAAAACATGAGCACTTTCACCAAGGAGTCATATACAACAGCTTGTGAAAAGCCTAAGGGAGCCGGGCGCTGGTGGCTCACACCTGTAATCCTAACTACCCAGGAGGCAGAGATCAGGAGGATCATAGTTCAAAGCCAGCCCCGGGCAAATAGTTTGCAAGATCCTATCTTGAAAAAAATACATCATAAAAAAGGGCTGGGTGGAGGGGCTAGCAAGCCTGAGGCCTTGTGTTCAAACCCCAGTGCTGCCAAAAACAAAAAAGAAGAAGAAGAAAAAAGTCTAGGTGGTTAAATGAGGCCTGTCTGTGCTTTTGAAACTGGAAGAGCTCATAACAAATACAGTTAAAAGTCTTGCTGGGCGCTGGTGGCTTGTGCCAGTAATCCTAGCTACTTGAGAAGCTGAGATCAGGAGGAGTGCTGTTTGAGGTCAGCCTGGGCAAATAGTCCTCAAGACCTCATGACCTTATCTCCAAAATAACCAGAACAAAATGGACTGAAGATAGGACTCAAACAGTAGAGCACTCAAAGCCCTGAGTTCAAACCCCAGTCCCACTAAAAAACAAACAAACAAACAACAACAAAAGCCGAAAAAAATAAGAGTCCCTAACACTCTCTGGTAATAAGCAAGACGTCATTCCTGCTCTTAGCAAAATCACACAGCAGTGGGAAGATGTGTCCAGTTCCAGGCTGCTCGGCACCTGAGCCTCAATTGTCTGAGTGACAATTCAGAATCCCCCAGAAGAGTCATCATCCCGCAGTGCTTGTCTCTGCTCAATGGCAGTTGGTGTCTCCTGGCACTGGAACCCCCAGTGAGCCCCAAGCCCTCTGGCATCCCATCTACCATACACGAAGCTCTCACTTTCTAGGAAGGCAGAAGCTGTACCAGTCCTGGGTTAAGGTGCTCAACTTGAATTTATGGACTTGATTAAGGCAAAAGAAGACAGGAACCTTTCAGACTAAGACAGCCAGGCAGGGCAACAATCACAGCCCTTTCCTCCCTTGGCTTCCCCATGTGTGAAAATGGGACTGGATTTCTGTATGTGTTTTTAACTGACACACATATTGCTTTATGTTTATGGGTACAGTATGACATTCCATCTCACACATACGATATGCACTGATCACATCAGGATAAATGGCATAGGCCCCACCTGAAACATCTAACCTTTCTTGGTGCTGGGAACATTCAGAATCCTCTCCTCCAGCTATTTGGATATATGTAATTAATTGTCACCAACCACAGTAACTCTACCGTGCTACAGGACACTAAGGGTCCTCACTCCTGTCCCATTGTACCCCGTTACCAGTAACCAATGGGTGCACTTTTAATTATCTTCCGTACATCTGCCTCTTAGGTGCTCATCATCGAATCAAGGTGGGATCACACTGAAGACCCAATGAGGGTGCTACACGAGGGATCCTGGGCTGCCTGGAACCCAGCAGGCTCGGGTGCAGGGACAGTCTCTTGCACAGTCAGCTGCCCCACGAGGCCTGGCAGCACCAGCACGCACCTAAAGCACCAGGATTGCTGAGCAGAGAGACTCGGATGTTCTTCACCTGGAGTTTTCGTTCATGAGCCCTTGGAGGTTTCGGCGGGCAGGATTCCTGAGCAGTAGATGAAGTGCGCTGTAGATTCTGCAGGAAAGAAAAGCAAAGAGTGATGGCTGTGGGGAGACCTAGGACAAGAAGGTGGCTACTAAATTCTATTATGGGGAGGGCTTTTCAGAAACACCTGCTTAGGGAACCCGAGCTCTGTACCAGTGCTCCTGACTCACTGGAAGTGAGGGTGACCATGAGCTGCAACTGTTTCCCCTACTTGGGAGCCTTCTCCATCCCAAACAAAGTACATGTAAGTGGCAATATTCCCAGCCTGAGAGGCAGTCCCAAGTCCCAAGTCCCAAGTCCCACTGCAGGTGGAGACCGCAGCAGTTACCACAGCTCCACACTCTGACCTAGGACCGGCACATCTAACAGCGAGACCTCTGTAGGCAGCAGCACCCAGTGCCTACCTCACCAATGGGCCACTGGCCAGGGGTGAATGCCACAGCCATCAGCCTGTGACCACTTCCCATCTCCAGGCAGAGCCTCACTGACATCTGTGTGAGGTTCCCCTAAGGACCTCTGGTGTTGCACGAGTGAGGGGACAGAGTCAGGACCCGCTGGGACAGGCGTTCTCATCTTGTCCTCAAAGGAACATCAGGACATTTCCAGCAGCAAGCATCCCCAAGTCTAAAGGTAACCTGCACATCTGTATTGTACAAGCCAGCCTCACCACACACTGGCCGCCAACAGTGCTCCTTATAAGGGCTCCTTTAGTGTAGGCTTGCAGGAACCCGAGGGCTTCCAGGGGTCTTTAACCCTGAGAATCCTGCAATGGCAATCCTGGGTGCTGATCAGACCCGGGACACCTACTAACATCTCCAGGGACACTCGTGTTCTTTAGGGTACCATCTGGCAAATGCCACTCCAAGCCAGGTACTTCCCAGCTATGAGCTGAGGCTGCAGGAAGGCCAGGAAGTGACTGCAAAAGTCGTTACCATCTAGAACGTGAGCCCTGGGGACAGCAATCCATACATCTGGGATGGGATTGGGATGAGATTTTTTTCAGTTGTATATGTGTGATGGTTAATTTCATTTGTCTACCTCCCTGGGCCATGCATGTTCAGCTATTCGGTCAAACTCTATTCTGAGTGTTTCTGTGATGGTAATCTGGATGAGATAAACATTTAAGTTGACAGACTGAATAAAGCAGATTGGTCTAGTGTGGGTGGACCTCATCCAACCAGTTGAAGGTCTGAATAGAAAAAAGGCCAATCCACTCCAAATGAGAGAATTCTTCCTTCCAGATTGCTCAGGCTGGGACATGGTTTTCTGCTGCTTTAGGACTAGAATGGCAGCATTGGCTTTTGCTGGGCCTCAAGTCTGCCAGCCTTCAGGCTGGAGTCATACTACCAGCTCTCCTTGGGCTCAGGCTTTGAACTTGGATTCGAATCACACCATGGGTATATCAGCCCCATCATCATGTGAACTGATGCCTTATGACATGTCAATATTGTGATTTCTTCCTGAGGTTCTGTTTCTTGGGAGAACCCTGGCCAACGGGGTACTCTTTGATAAAAGTTCACAAATTTATTTAAAAATATTACTGACTCTGTGATAGTTATGGTCCTTGATTTTGTGAACCCATGGATTCTAAACATATACCACTATGTGTGAACTGCTTCCATTCTAACATTGACGTTTGTGGTTAGTCAGTCCACCTGATCGGCAAGGATCCACAGGGACAGGATTACTGGAGGGACAGAGGCCAGGACTGCTCCCACCTCCTGCGATGCATGCTCGATCCCGATCTTTGGAAAGGTGGAGCCCCCTCGTGCCCCTGGATGATCCCTCACCATGAATGACCATAGCCCCTCACCACTGCCACCCACAGGCCACGATGCCCCTGCTGTGCTGTAAGTGAAGGAGGGTGAAGACGGTCTCTCATAGTTTTGGGAACCTTAGCACCTGGCATTTAGCACACACATGTTGGCCAACTGACATTTGTTTAGTGAATCATGTACTGTGGCTTCATCAGGGTGGAACAATACGGAACGGCTCAGTGACCTCCCCCACCCCATGGAGATCTGCAGCCCTGTGCTCCAACCCTGAGACTCCATTCCAAGACCACAGGCGATACCCGTAAGGCAGCAGTGCTGCAATCTCAGCTCCAGCATGGAGGAAGAAGCTCTGGAAATGCATTTCTCCCGAGTGGCGGCTGCACCCCATCAGGGCTCAGAAACCCCCTGCAAGCTTGACTGATGTGTTTACCTGAGCTTCCTTTACATCCACAGGTCTGGTGCTCAGAACCACCGACGGAGAGGCAGAACTAACCAGGTGCTTCAAGATGTCCTGGAGAGTGTCAGATATTACAGTTGTCTCAGCGCCCTGGGCCTGGGAGGAGAGAGTTGTCAGGTCATCCCATCACCAAGTGCCCGAGTACCTGACAGGCAGGCTTGGCGTTTCTACACAGGCAACATGAAGCACCCTGACATTAGGGTGACACCAGCTCCCATCCCCAGGCTATAACCCTCTGCTGGCCTGTGAGAGCTCAGCACACAGCAGATCACGGCCCCTTGCCAACAGCCAGACAGAAATCAGGAGTCTCAAACCATCAACCACAAGGAGCTGAATTTGGCCAAAAATACACATGAGCCTGGAAGAGGCTCCTAAATTCTAGAGGAAAGCAGCCAGGCCAAGACCTGAACTACAATGGAGTGCAAAGACCCTGAGCTCAGGACTAGCCAAGCCTTGTACTTCTGGACCTCAGAAAGTATGAGGAAATAAAGGCGTACTGCCTTCAGCTGTTGCATCTGTGGAGCTGTAATGTACCCAACATGGCTCCCAACACTCAAGAAGTCAGGGTCCCTGGTGCCCTTGGAGAGGGCTGGGGAGGTGCATGAAGGGGCCACAGTGGGCTTCCTGAGGCTCATCCTGTTCCATTGCTTAAGCTCAGTGCTCAGTGACACATGCACTGTTCTGCGTATCAAAGAACAAGCAGAATCTATTTTGTTTTCTCACTGCTAAGGATAACAGGACCCTGTGCATGTTAGGCAAGTGCTCTATCACTGAGCTACATCCTCACCCCTTGCTTTTATGAGACAGGGTCTTGTGATGCAGCCTAGGCTGACCCCAAACTCTGATCATCCTACCTGTACCTCCTGAGTGCTGAGATTACAGATGTGAGCCACCATGCCTGGCTTGCAGGATCTATTTTTAAAATCTCAATTAATGTGAAGGATGCTTGGGTTTTGTGTTTCAAAAAAATTTTGTTTACATATTATAGCTTTTGTTTTAACTCTTGAAAACCAGGACCTAGGTGGATATCTGTCAGTAGGCCATGTGGTGCTCTGCTGGCTGCTTTGGCACTCACACTGTCCTTCTGAGGTTTCAGGAGAGCAGCTGTGATTAAATAAGCATATGCCAAGACTTGGGACCATAGCTTCCACTGCTGTTTTGCTGTGGGCTGGAGAGCCCTGAGGTGTCCTTGTCACCCTGGTCACATCCCTCCCACTTTAAACCACTGACAGCTCCAGCCACCACAACCTGCTCCATGATGGGTCCCCCACAGGCACTGGATCCTACAGGCCCCACTGTAGGGCAGGAAAGTATTTAAGAAATCCATCTGGAGACAGTCTGTGCTGTCCCAAGGACAATAGGCTGGCTGGTTCCTGGCGAACTTAGTCCAAATGTAGCATTTATTGAAAATTGACTCTGCTAGGATATTTAAAATAATAAGACTCAAAATGGCGGACACTTACACAACTTAATATACACACCTCGTGTAAGTAAACCTCCAAGTAAAAATTACAATTCTGATATACGCAATTGCAAAGAAATATAACTCAAATTTATTAGCCAAAACCAAAACTAAATTAGAGTAACATTGCATATCTACATCAAGGCATGAAGGTTAAAACATTTTCTGAAAGGTCTGGGGCATGACCCAGCGACAGAGCACTTGCTCAACATGCAAGAGCCCTGGGTTCATCCCCAGCACCAAAAAAACAAAACAAAAAACTGTTGACCAATACGCTATTAAATTCACACAGTTCAACTGTGGGGATACCTCAGTAGCTGAACTAGAGTCTAAAATGGAGCAAAATTACAAGGAAATATGAAAACTACCAGAAAGCAGCCCCCTAATAGCCCAAGTCTTTGGCATAACTGATTTGCTGACCTTCCCAGCAAGGGAAAGGGACACCCCAGCGCCACTTTGCACAACTGCTTCCTCCTCTCAAGTTCCCATCCTCAAACCCTGAGGCTCCAGAAAGAAAGGGGGAACATTGCTCCCCAGTTTTAGATGTATCCTTTAGGAAAGGCAGGAAGAATGGAGGCCTCATTCTGGGAAGGCGAGCCCAGCTCAGTAATGACATGGGCCCTACACGATGGCAGCTTTGGGTGCCCAAGACAGTTCTATCCCCTGAGCTGACCGATCCGAGCCTCGGTTCCCCAGTGTGGTTGTCTGAGGGGCATGCGCTCTCACAGCAGAGGAAGAACCATAAAAACTCACAGACTGACCTCCACCAGTGCTCGGGGCTGGACCTTGATGGCGGTTTCTGGCACATGGATGAAGGACCATCTAATCTGGATGTCCTGTCTTTTTTCTTTCACGTGGAACTCCAGCTAGTAAAACAAGCCAACAAAAGGTTATTGGTTGGCCAATCCTCCCACCACAGCTTTCGTGAGCATGCGCGTACATCGTGTGTTTGTTTCAGGCTCCCCCTTGACCTACCATGCACATACAAAATGGAAAGAGGACCCCACGCTCCTTTCCACTCCCTTCCTCTGCCTGACCTGCCACTCAGAGAGGACCTCAGCATCTGTGACTGAAGGCCTGATGTCATGAAAACTCTGCAGTCTCCTTTGAATGAGTAATCCGCCGTGCTTTGCCTTTCTCTCTCTGGGCATGTCACCAAGGAGTAAGAGGAGGGACCCAGGATGTCCTACCCCTAGTCGTGGACACAGGCCTCCCCTGGTGCCCAAATTGACATGTCCCCTGAGGACTGTGCACAGAGTGCAATGCACCCTTCCTCTCACCTGGGCCACTCCAGCAGCTTCAATGGGCCTCCCACCTCTAATAATGCATCATCCAGTCCTACCCATCTGTGGGAGGTGGACTAACGGGCCCAGAGATGCTCATGCCCTCATCCCTGGACGCTGTGCACACGGGGCCACATGTGGCAAAGGGCACTTGGCAGGTGTGACTAGGGTCAGGACCTGGAGGTAGGGAGAGCATCCTGGGTTCTTCAAGTGACCCACAGGAGTCACAGGAGTCCTTAGAAACAGACGAGGATGCAGCAGAGTGGGCCAACACGGATGACTAGAGAATCCAACCCCACCCTGGCTACATCAGAGAAGGAGGAAGGAGCCATGAGCAAAGAAGCAAGGCTGCCTGGGAGCACTTTGCACACCACACACAGCCACCAGGAATGTGAGTCCCAGTCCTGCAGCCCCACAGAACTGGCTCCTACCAATGCCCTGAGTGAGCACAGAAACAAACTTCCCTGCACAGCTTCCAGAGACTGGGCAGTCCTGACAAGACAATGACATTACCCTGTGTGGGCCTCTGCCCTCTAGCACTGACACAGCCATGTGTGCGGTCCAAGCTGCTCCCTTGCTTCAGCAGAAACACGCCAACAGTCCACCACGCTTCACAGTTCAGATGGACACTCCTAACCGTGGAGCTCCTCACATCTCCATGCCAGCCTCATCCACGCAAAGGGGGAGGGAAGAATGGCGTTAGGCTATCTGAATGCCCACACTAGAAGTAGGGTGAGAGAAATGATGCCTTTCCCTGCCCTACAATTATGGATCGTTCTAGAACAAGAGTGCTTTAATTTCATTGCCATAGGTAACCAAGTGCAGTGGGCACTGGTTCTGCCTGCCAGCACCTCTGTGCCCCACTGAGCCGAGCGATATGGCAGAAGCAGAAGCCCGCTGGCTGTGGTGTTAATTCTTCACCCCTCTGGATCGGCTTCTCTGCTTCGGGAGGTAAGTTACGCACCGGTGTGAACTGCGCCAAGAAATCAAAGATGCAACTGTGCTCCTGCTGTCTGAGCTGCTTAAAATGGTTTTGATGCCATGAACCAGTCTCACAGCGCAGCTCCTCAGTAGTGTGTGGTCCCCACAGGACCCATTCAGCTCTGATCCGTGCGCAAATGTCAGCCAAATATGTCCCAGGCCTCCAGATTATTTTCTAATCACACGTGGGAGTGCGGGAGAGGCTAACGTGACTTTAACAAGCTCTTCAATTCCTAAAAGGCAATGATATTGGGGCGGGACTGGGAGGTGGGGTAGGTTTCATTAAAAAGCCTCTATGAGATAGCTAGAAAGTCTTGCTGAGGCTGGTTATTTAAAAAAATAAATAAAGCATGTGGAAAACCATCTTCCTTTGTGGTTGGGAATTCTGCATAATTTGATTCATCCTCAAAATTAGAGGCCAGGTGTAAGAACAGAGGAGATAAAATATGGGGTTGAATCAGCAGTGAGTTCTAAAACAGGCCCAGAAATTCATAATTTTTAAATGCCGGCTGAATGGGAGCTTCCAGTGAATGTCTGGCTTAACATGAGTGAAAGGATTCTCCTCTCCCCTTCCCTCCCTTTCCCTCCTCCTCCTTCCCCTCCCCTTCTTCTCCCTCTCCCCTCCCCTCTCCTCAGTGCTCCACCACTGAGCCACAATTCTCCAACCCTTTTACAATTTTATTTTGACACAGGATCTCACCAAGCTTCACGCCGGCCTCAGATGTTTGATCGCCCTGCTTCAGCCTCCCTAAGTAGCTGGGATTACAGATGTGTGTCACCACACCCACATAGAGGTTCTTTTAAAGCTATTTCAAAAACTAAGAAAGCCATGCCAAGCCCATCTGCTCTGTCCCCTGTCTCTCCAAGGTCCACACTTGACTCTGAGCCTCTCACCTCTCTCAGGTACCTCTCTCCTCATCCTGCCAGTTGACGACACTCCTGACTTGTTTCAATGCCCAATAAAGGCAGTCTCTGAAGCTACTGAGTGTGTGTGAGTGCGTGCTGAGTGTGAGTGTGAGTGGTACATGTGATCGTGTGTGAGTGAGTGTGTGTGAGAGTGAGGGTGTTAGGGTGTGTGTGAGGGTGTGAGTGTGTGTGAGTGCGTGCTGAGTGAGTGTGAGCATGTGTGGTACATGTGATTGTGAGTGAGTGAGTGTGTGTGAGAGTGAGGGTGTTAGGGTGTGTGTGAGAGTGTGTGTGTGTGAGTGTGAGCGTGTGTGGTGAGGGTGTGTGTGTGAGTGCGTGCTGAGTGAGTGTGAGTGTGTGTGGTACATGTGATCGTGTGTGAGTGAGTGAGTGTGTGTGAGAGTGAGGGTGTTAGGGTGTGTGTGAGGGTGTGAGTGTGTTTGGATTCTTAGTTCCTACACACCAGTACAATACAGATGCTCACAGTTTGAAAACGACACGACTGGTAAATGGTAAGAAGTGGGTGCTCACGGCCCTATAAGTCACCGTGCGAAATCCTGAAGTGCCTCACAATACCAGGAGTTCTGAGTCCCATGACCTGCAGCACCCCCAGCCTTACCTGTAAATGAAGTGGGGTGAGCTGCACATCGTACAGCTGGTGTTCTGAGCCTGCGGCTGAGGCAGGCCTGGCGCTGACCAAGAACTGAAGGGTGTCACCCACCACATGGCAGCTCACCACCTAGAGGAGGGACAGGGTGACAGGTAAAACTCCACAGGAGAGCAAGGACAGCGTGGGTCACAGATATCTTCACTTCATTGACTACAATAGGCTGCACCTTCCACATTAAGTTAGCAAGGACAAGGATTTAGAGTTTCAAACTAGGATTCACACTTTTTCCATCACGTAGTCATTTGAAGACTAGAAACAAATTGAATGCGTGCTTCCTGATAAATTTCTCCGTTCCACCCCAATCTAGCTCCTGTGCTCTTTCCACATATAGTAAAAATTTTTTCTTTGAACATTGTTTTGTTGTATTTTTCCACAGCTGATTTAAAATTCCCTAGACATTTCTACATTCATACACAGTAAAAGCCATCAAAATCTTCTCTCACTAAAAATAAGTCTTAAAATAAGTCACAGGTGTTACAAGTAAAAAATTTAAAAATTTTCCCAGAACATAATTGTTTCACTCTATAAAATTTTCATTATATCATTGTTTTTCATAAATGTGGGAGTGATTCAAAGAACATATGAAATATTAATAATCACAAAATTGTACAGCCATACAAAAAATAGAATTATAAAAGTCTGAAAGACAGAGACAAGTAATTACACCAGGAATAAAGGAAACTATAATGCTGATAGATCATAAGGCACTTCAGAGGGGTGGGCTTTACAGCCATCACAGCACAGAGAAATGGCTAGTTTCTGCCATGGACTCCTACAGGAGCAGATCTTCTAGAAGGAGACCTCAGCAACCCCTGGGCAGGAAGCCAAGCAAGCACAGTGCCCGGTATTACAAGGCCAGGTGCCAGGTGTGCACAGCCTGGGGGCAGTCAGGCACGCTGGGCACTGCACAGCAGAGCAGGTGGAGGGAGCATGGTAGGTGACCAATGGGTTTGGCCAAAGCTGAGCCACTAGGAGTCTGAGGGTAACAAAAGATGCTCCTCCACCTTCCCAAGGGAGCAGCTGACCCCACCGCTAGGAGTTCACTCAGGGAAGAAGAGAAAATTCCTTAATTCTCTGGTGGATTTATCAGAATCTAAAATACCAAGTAGAAAGATTATCAAAATAATTACTCTGGCAAGGCCTGCAATTACGCAAAGTTCACTCCCCCTCTTCCTTTCCCAACCGTGGCTCCCACGGCCACCCATGCCCCACATCCAGCTCTCTCTCCCGCAGGCCCACGTCCCCAACTTCACATACACTCAGTGAGGTACAGAGCCCTGGCAGGGCAGCCTCCGTGTCCATGCTCAAAGCCCTGGGTCACACAGATAGAGCAAAGGACATCTTGCCTTTCCCTATCTTGGTAGGATTATGACAAATCACAATCCTGCCCATTCTTACAACATCGCTCTCAAAGACTGATCTACGTGGATTAGTTAGGGATCGCCATCAGCGCCAAAAGGATTGGAAAAAGAATGTTTGGATAAGAAATGTCACCTATTCATGCTAAAAATAAATTATCTATAAACAATCCCTCCGGAAGAACAGAATTTGATGCAGATGAGCACCATACACCAGTGACGTGACAGGGAAACACGTCCTTGTCTCCACAGTCCGGGCCTTTTACTGTTTAAAGGTAAAAAAACAACAAAACAATGACATGGTATACACCTGTCACTTCTCTGGAACCTTCTACACTAACAGGGAGCTTGGTTTGTGCCTGGATTCACACAATAGGCTTTGGACAGAAAGTCCCCACTGCTCATTGAAACACACAGCACCCAAGCACTTGGTTAAAAGCAGGCAAAAAAATAAGTCAATAAATAAATGACATGAAAAGACTTTGCAACTGCCAGAGTACAAGATGTCACAGCTCAGATTAACCACTCACCCCACACCAGTAAAGCCAGCGGGGTCACTAGAAGGGCCTCTCTCGTCAGTTGGGAGCAGCCTCCTAGAGCATCTTCCACAGCGCTGGGGCTTCCCACAAGCTAAGTAATAAAAGCAGCCACGTGGACCACGCTTTCTTAGCCTCTGCTTGGTGTTCAACAAGAAATCTCACTAAAGAAACCATCTACACCCACCTCAACACTTGGATGTGCCCCAACAGAACCGACCCCACTGGGGCATGACACGGGGACAGCCGTCGGGGCCAAACCCTTTCCC